TTTGGTTCCTAGCACCTATATAATAGTTCATAACCATCTGAAACCATCTTTAACTGCAGTTTCAAGGGTTTCATTAACATCTTTCGATCTCTGTGGGCACCAGACATGCACTTGGTGCACGTACATACATGTAGGCAAAGCACTCATACACATAAAGTAAAACAAGTCTTTTTTTTTTTTTTCAGAGCTGAGGGCCAAACCCAGGGCCTTGTGCTTGCTAGGCAAGTGCTCTACCACTGAGCTAAATCCCCAACCCCAGTAAAACAAGTCTTAAAAAATGAATCCATTTTCTCTGTCTTGTTTCACCCTATCCCCCTGCTAATACCTCATTATCTTCATCCTTCTCATCTTCTTCCTCCTTTTCTTCCTCCCCCTTATCTTTCTCCTCCTTGTTTTCTTCCTTCTCATCTTCTTGCACACCAGGAAAAGATGCATATTTTCTCCAAGGATATTTATCAACTACAATCCCAATATTCTGTTTCACATTTAATATTGTGCTTCAGACTGGCCATTTATTCAGGAGAATAAGGTAACGATTTGAGAAGATAACAAACTCACTCCCCTCTACTTACAGAGATAATAGTATGATTTAGGTTGAAATGAACTACAATACTAACATTAATTTCTTGAAAAATGCTTATTTATCACCCTGATACAGTCAAAAGGTACTCTGAGAACTCCATGGAAGATTTCTATTATCCATACATTATAAAGAAAGAGGAAACTTTTATAATGAGGAAATATTCACAGAGGACTTCTCACATAGATTAGGAGTTTTTCCAATATATTCTTACAAATTCTGTTGTTTCTTTAGTAATCAGAACTATGATACAAAATACAAATTCTTCTGTCTCAATACCATGATTTTTATCTATGCATTTTGACAGTCTTGCTTAGGCAACCCTACACAGAAATCTTGATATTTAATAAATAGGACATTTACATGGACTTATAAAGAGAGACACTGTTAGATAGATATGTGGGTTCAATATAAAGAAAGGATGGCTAGAAAAGATGGCTCACTAGTTAAGAGTATATACTGTGCTTGCAGCAGAGTCTAGTTTGTTTCCTAGCACGCACACAGCAGCTCATAACCTTGTCTATCTGTAGTTCTAGAAAATCCAATGCCATTTTCTAGCCTCTGTAGATTCTTCCTTGTGTTGTGCACACCACACACACACACACACACACACACACACACACACACACACACACAAAATCCAATGCCATTTTCTAGCCTCTGTAGATTCTTCCTTGTGTTGTGCACACCACACACACACACACACACACACACACACACACACACACACACACCACACATAAAATAAATCCACAAATATCAAACAAAGGATATAGAAAAATAAGATAATTATTTATGCACTCAACAATTTGATCACTTGCGATTTATCAGTGTCTTCATTAGAGACACCAGAGACACAACTGTGAAACTTAATTCATAAATAGAAAAAATACTGTTCTTATAGAGAATACATTAGAACAATGAAGGAGATACTTAGATAGTAAAATAAAGATATAATAGTATCAACTTGTGTTTGATTTAAAAATAATTTGCACATGCCATAGCGTCAACATGGCCCTTGCTGCAGCAGAAACATGGACCCAAAAATGTCCTTTGGTGGCAGTACAGACCAAGAACATCAACATGGCCTCAGGTTGAGGCACAGGCTCCTTATCCATGAGTCTGATGGGGTGCATGATGTAAAATTCCCACATAATCAATAAAAATATTATGTTTGAAAACCTAATAATTTACACCTATTTTACAGAGACACACAGAAAAACAGAAAGGAGGAAAAGAACATTGACAGTATGAGATTGCTCACGATTTAGACAGGGTGGCACTGACTGAATTAGTTTCCTAGCTGCTATAACAAATTCCTATGACATTATCAACTGCAAAAAATCTCAAAGTCCATTATCCGAAGCTATCCCAATCACTAAATGTATCACTCTGGATGTCCTGGGAAAAATTCCTCTCCATTTATGTCCCCTGAGCCTAGAAAGAAGTTGTCCAGATACAAATGCAGGGCAGCCAGACGAGAGGTGACAGAGATAGGCATTCCTACTGCAATAGAGGGGAAAGAAAGATGGGGAGAAGTCAAAGGCAACTTAGAACCTAAAAGTGGAGTCTCCATCACTGCACAAGTCCAGTGTGTTTGGGGGCTTTAAGCCCATTGTGTCCTCACTTGTGGCTTTGAGTTCAAGCATCCTTAGTGTTTCAGCTTAGCCTCTGACTTCTAGGCTAGAGGCTGCAGTAGGTTTGCACTGAAAGGCACTGTGTGTTTGTAGCTGAGTCATCCTATCAGCCTGGCTTGGGCCAAGAGGGATATTTGAGGTTTTTCATTGTGCCTTGCCTATGATCCTTTTAGTCTAGGCAGGAAGTGTTCATGATACTTTAATACTCTCACAAACTTTGTAGTGCTCCTGGCTTTGTCATGAGGATTTAAACACCTGAATGAGTCTTTCCCACAAATCTTCCTTGATTGTCCCCTTGTTTATTCCTCATTTATATAGGTGAGCATAGTTTTGAGTCACAGACATGACCTTAAAGCACCAGCTGATGTTTGTCCAGTCTCCCCATTGACCTGTCCCCGGCAGTATCTCCCAATACCAAATCTCAGAGATAGAGTATTTTTTGCACCCTAGGTAATTTGGCACACAATTTAGTATTTGTATTCTTTTTGGACTTTACTGTAAGTAGAAAGATGAAACCATAATATATGTTCAATAGTTTGATCAGAACTATCCTGAGGAATGTATTAAAGCTTCAGTGTACAGATTACGCTTTCTAGCTGTGAAGCACATAGTAGGTCTTCTATACTGAGGCATAGGGTGAAGGAAGAAGCCAAAAATTATCTGGATATATATATATATATATATATATATATATATATATATAGAAAGAGGAGGAAATTCAACAGCAGACATTCTA